GCTGTGGGGCTACAGCAGAGCTGACAGCCGGCCCACTGCACTCTTCCTTTGCCTTGCTCGCTCTCCTCTCTCTCTCCCCCCAGCTGAGTGACATATTCAGTTCAGCTAGCGTTAGCACTGCATGCTAAAACACCACACAAGTCCTCATGAACTCCACACACTAAGGATGGGACTGGCTTAATGATAAAGTTATACCATTTACCAATTATACCATTTAAAATTTGAATCATTTCAGTAACACACTGTAGGACAACATACACCGATCAGGTATAACATTATGACCACCTCCTTGTTTTTACGCTCATTGTCCATTTTATCAGCTCCACTTACTATATAGGTGCACTTTGTAGTTCTACAGTTACAGACTGTAGTCCATCTGTTTCTCTGCATACTTTGTTAGACCGCTTTTACCCTGTTCTTCAGTGGTCAGGACCCCCATGGACCCTCACAGAGCAGGTAGTATTTGGGTGGTGGATCATTCTCAGCACTGCAGGAGCAGACATGGTTGTGGTGTGTTAGTGTGTGTTGTGCTGGTACGAGTGGATCAGACACAGCTGCTGGAGTTTTTAAACACCTCAGTGTCACTGCTGGACTGAGAATAGTCCACCAACCAAAAATATCCAGCCAACAGCCTCCTGTGGGCAGCGTCCTGTGACCACTGATGAAGGACTAGAGGATGACCAACACAAACTGTGCAGCAGCAGATGAGCTGTCGTCTCTGACTTTACATCTACAAGGTGGACTGACAAGGTAGGAGTGTCTAATAGAGTGGACAGTGAGTGGACACAGTATTTAAAAACTCCAGCAGCACTGCTGTGTCTGATCCACTCAGACCAGCGCAACACACACTAACACACCACCACCACGTCAGTGTTACTGCAGTGCTGAGAATGATCCACCACCCAAATAGTACTTGCTCTGTGAGGGTCCATGGGGGTCCTGACCACTGAAGAACAGAGATGCAGAGAAACAGATGGACTACAGTCTGTAACTGTAGAACTACAAAGTGCACCTATATAGTAAGTGGAGCTGATAAAATGGACAATGAGCGTAGAAACAAGGAGGTGGTCATAATGTTATGCCTGATCAGTGTAGTTATAAACTGAACAGTAAACAGAAGTAATGCTGGTGATTACAGTACGTCACTTATTACTTATTTTTACTCAGTCCCCAGTGTGTCCAATTCCCAAGTGTTAGTTTATTCTCCCTCTATCACACAGTGCTACAAGGCTGGGAGGGTGAGGACTAGCATGTGCTTCCTCCGAGATATGTAAAGCAGGAGCATAGATATGGGTGGGCCTGGGGGGCATCAGTCTCTCCACTTGAAAGCCAACCCCCCTTAAATATCTGAACAATAAAAAGTTTTCCCATGCCAACAAAAACATTGAAAGATATAAGGCCGTCTTGGTGAAAGGTACTGTTTTCTTTTTTCCATCTTAAATAAATAAAAGAGGCTGACAAAGCTCTCTGTAGATCATCAACGACATTCAGGGGATGCTATCGCCATAGCAACGTTTACACAGCTGCAAAGGCAAGGAAAGACTTTTTTTCAATGCCAACATGCCACAGCAATAGCTTGCACTGCTGTTTCTTCTGGTGACAACTTAGTTGAGCTGCACGAGTTCTCATAGGCTATTTACCTAGTTAGCGAGTTATAGTAGTTTATTGTGGTAAAGAAAATGAAGTTCAATACTGCAAAAAAGCAACAAGAGCATCACAATCTTCAGCCATTCACCCCACATATCTACTCTTAGTGCTAATCAGCCTTTACCCACCAACTGCAAGCAGTTATAGCAGCTAATTAGTTGTTATAGCTACTAATGTTAGCCAGGTTAATTGTGAAGTAAGCTATCGTGTGTATGTTTCAAGCTACAATGAAGTTAATGGCAAGCTCGCAGTCATCATCATCACTATTATGGTGTCTCTGGGCCTTAATGATTGCTACCCTGTAACTAGGCTCTAAAATGAAGTCCTGGCTATGCTACTGACCTGAAGCATCACCAAATCTATTCGAGCTAACGCAACATTACTGGACTGCTCAATATGCTTGGAGGAGACTGCTATATTGTAACATTAGCTAACAGACAGCCACACTGGCTAACTAAGTTATGGTGGGAGAGCACGGCCATCCTTCCCACCCAGAGAGAAGGACAATTATACTCTTGAAATTATAGTTGATTTATTGGTGTTATAGAGAAATACTAGAGATTCAATAAAAAGTCTATGTATAATATCTGTGGTGAAATAATTTGAATGTGTCTTGAACAATATCACAGAATGTTGTGATAACACTGTGATATTTTCAACTCCATGATAAGAAACTTTCACTCTGTTCCCCTCCCACCCCCACTCTTCACATAGCCTACTGTCCACAAGATTTATACTGATGATAATAAACACATATCAAAACTATGCTTTCACGTTTTCTCCACACACGCACACAGTAGAGCTAGATTCATCTTCGCCCGCACAACAGAGGAGGATTTCAGGCTAAACCAGATTAACAGGAGAAAAAAGGGCTGAAAAGAGAGAGAAAGGGGAGAGTGTGCTCATCACTTCTCTTTTTAGAGTGTGATTAATGCTGAGGAATGAGAAGCTGATAGGAAATAAACTGACATGTTAGAGAATAACTGTTATTTCCACTCATATGAGACCAGGTTTCTATTTGAATGGGGCTGAACGGGGAGATACTAGGAATGCAAATGATTAACCGATTATAGAAAATGTGACTTGGCAGTGTGAGGAAATCACACACTGGGGTGCAAAATTATAGAGAAGGACATACTGGGCAGTGATGGCTCTCAAGAGAACTTCAGAATCCATCACGTTATAATCAATTCAATTCATCAACTTTTTAGTATTTGGTCATGAAGTCATGAATATGTTATGGTTATCAGTCCCCCAGTTTAAACAGAGCCGGGTTCTGACATATGGCATGTTTAGTATGCCATTCATAAACATATTAGATATCAAGTATTTTAATGTATGTCATTGATTTTAGGCTTGCCAGTTAACAGTTAATCACCTCCTAATGATGGACAGTTATCGGTCAAAAGTATCTGACAAAATTTGCATCTCTAGGAGAGACCTACCATCAGGTCCACACGTTTTTGGGTGTCAGTAAAGTTTTATTCTTATAGCTGTCTACCACAGCATACTGGAGCTGAATTTAAATAATGAATGTGAACTCAAAGTGTAGACCTTCAGCTTTAATTTGAGGGGATACAAACGGAGTGAACAGTGTAGGAATTACAACCACTTTTAGGTCACCCTTTTATTTCACTTCCTGAAGACAAAGATGAAGATAAAACACACCAAGAACAAGCAGGAACTGAGGACAGCTGCATTAAAGGCCTGGCAGAGCTCCACTATGGAAGAAACTCAGCGTCTGGTGATGTCTATGGGTTCCAGACTTCAGGCAGTCATTGACTGCAAAAGATTTGCAACCAAGTATTAAAATAATGACAATCTAATTTATGATCGTTAGTATGTCCAATTATTTTTGAGCCGCTAATTTCTGTCATTCATCTAAACTGGACGGAAATACCCTCAAATCAAAGGAGAAAACATAAAGTATCCCCACACCATCGCACTACCACCACCATGTTTTTAATTTCAACTCCAGTACACAGCCAAGACAATAACTTTGTCAACATCCAAATATTTGTAGACTGTATAAACCCAAGCTAATGTATGATTTTAAAATCACTAGTAAAAACTGACCAAAAAAGCATAAACAACTTGCCTTTTTTCTATCAAAGTACACAGAAGAAATATTTTTGGTCATTCCCGATATTACACACATCTCCACAACAAGGGAGGTTCTTCTTGATCACACCTTTACTGACAAAATGACTGGCTTCCTTGAGCGTTACAAGCTACCACATTCATATTTAAGCCAGTGAACTGTCTCCTCTTCCTCTGATAATGTCTCTCACTGCACATAGGATGGCTAAGGAGAAATGACCACAGCAGGCAGAAGCAATGCATTACTGATAAGACCAGCTTCCTTTATCACAACAGACAATGTACTGTTTGCAGTAAACTGTGGGCAGTGCGTAGAGCTGTAGGTAGTACAGGTGCTGATCTGAGGTCGGTGACTGTCACAGACACACAGCTCCATCTGAATGTGTCGTCACGCTCTGACCCAGAACCAGGCAATCATTACCAAAGAGTAAACAAAGCACATGTTGTGGTCAAACTCATTCTCCTGCAGTGACTGTTTGTCTGCTGCAGGTCTGTAGGGCTTCACTCACTTCTAAACGTCCCCCAACAAGGTATGGTTTGGCGGAACTTCAAATTTAAGCCATTTTCCATGTAACCCAGATGTAGTATACCAGTAAAGATATAGACTTGCACATCACCTAAACTTCTACCAACCTGCTGAAACCGCATCCAGGTCTTCAGTTTGGTTGTGTAGATGTGTGAGTGTGGTTTAGGACACAGACTGGACATATTGGGAACTATAAAAATGAACAAACCTTTACTGTGTAGCTAAACACAGTGGTCAGTCATATTAGACAACAGGTGACAACAGGGGATTTTAATTTCCTGAGCTTTTATTGGCTAAATAGTGATGTTCACTGGCTAATGGAAACGCTGTTTCTAATGGACACAGATTTGGATTTGATGTCCGAATTTTGCTTCTTTAGTACTGGAACAACAATGCTAACATTGCTAACAAACACTTGAATTCAATAGTCACCCAAATCTTTGTAAATACATCCCCAAAACTTCTCTCAACCTGCTGAAACCGCATCCAGGTCTTCAATTAGGTTGTGTAGATTTGTGAGTGTGGTTTAGGACACAGACTGGACATATTGGGAACTATAAAAATGAACAAACCTTTACTGTGTAGCTGAACACAGTGGTCAGTCATATTAGACAACAGGTGAAAACAGGGCATTTTAATTTCCTGAGCTTTTATTGGCTAAATAGTGGTGTTCACTGGCTAATGGAAACCCTGGTTCTCATATATATGGGTATGTGCATATACTTACGGGCTGACGACCCTGAACTGGACGTAGGGAACGAGCTGCAGCAGCAGCCGGACTCCATTCTGCCACTCTTCCTCCGAGCGGAACTCGCAGCCTTGTGCATCGCACTCCTCAAAGGAGAACTGGTAGTATGTGTTGGAGTCCTCAAACACCACCCGCTGGTCCACTGCACCGTCCAGGAGAAGAGAAGGATATCAGAATTACTGCAGTGCATGTTGAGATAAACAAACCTACCACTGGGAACAATATGTTTGTATATTAACTCTAGACCTAGGTTGTTTGAGCTGGGCCTAAGTGCCCAGCAGGTTCTTGCTATTAAGCTGATTACAGGCATTGTAAAAAACATCATTAGAGAATAATTACTTGGAGTAATAATAACACCATATTTCACTGTAATGTCACTCATTTAAGCTAGAAATTACATCACTAAAAAACATCACTAAATACAGGGTGATGGCACAGACAATCTATAGTAAGATTTACTGCTTTGTTCTACAGCCCAGATTCAATTTCAGTTCTAAGTACTAAACAGGTACATACTATATAAGACTCTCACATCTTTAAGTGTTTGTAACTCATGTATTAAAAGGACACTATATTTTCAATTTATTTAAACTGCCCTGGAACTCACAATCATGTTACTCAAAAGAGTTTGCATCTCACACTTACCTGGGTACCTAGAACTGACGGGACCGTAAAAAATACATTTTTATCCTGATAACAATCGTAAACAGGTAGAAAGCACCAAATCAGCAATGTTCCTTGTCAAGATATTGTCTGCAAAAGAAGGGAGTAGAGTTTGCACTCCATCTGCCCTTCTGAAACTGGCATCATGTATGAGATACAGTTGAATGCAAAATTTGAACACCCAAATTTGTTGACTTTCTAAGTGAAAATAAGTCAACGCATCCTCCACAGGAAACAAACTTTAACCTAGTTTTCTGCAATTGTTGATGCACAATTTCTAATTTTTGGCCAAATTTAACATTTTGAAAAAGAATAAAACATAAAATACAAAATGTGCCATAACTTTTGAACAGGCCACATTTTACGTTGCATAATTCTGCATTAAAATTTCCAGAAGTGTATTCTCTATAGAGGATGTGTTAACTTATTAAGAAAACCAACAAAATGTCATCTGACCAGGGGTGCTCAAACTTGCATACGACTCTAGTTCCAGTGGTTCTGTTCCTGCAGCATTCAAAATTTTGAATAATAATGTATCAAAAAACATAGTGTTGTTTAAGTCTCTTGCATCTTGTATATTCCTTAAATTTTATAGCTCCTTCGGAATATATATATATATATACAATTTGCCTAGTGCTGTTGATGCTACTGTAACTCTATATTTTGTCTCAAGATTAACAAAAATCCATATCTATCTATCAGTAAATGCAACTAGACAGCACATGGTAAGCAACTGTTTGTGTGCAAGAAGCCTCCTAATCCATCTCTGCAACTGCTTTTTGGTTCATTAGAAAAGTTTAACACTGCACAGAAATCTAAAGTACTTTGAGCAGCTGCATTGTATGGATCAGTTTGCTTTGTTGAAGTATTGCTTAATGAGATGATGTTAACATGTCACAGCTGGCTAGTTGCAGTAAATAAATTCAATTACCTGAGGGAAGAACATGACGGCATATAATGAGTTAGCCATGTGTGCAGTGTAACGATATATAGTGCGCTGGTATCGCTGGAATCAATAGGTCATTTCACGAAACACTCAATGGTGTGTAGAGCACTGAAGTAGGTAGCAAGGCTAGTGCAAAGTGTGGCACTAAGCTCTGTAGTAAGGCTAGTAGAAAGTGTAGCAGCATACCTGCTATAGATCTAACAGTAAGGCCTACATTAAGTGTTGATGCAAGGCCAGGATTAAAGTCTACAGCAAGGCTAACAGTAAATCTAGCAGTAAGTCCTTCTATAAGCCAAGCAGTAAGGCTTGGAGTAGGGCCTAAAGTAAGGCTAGCAGTAAAGCTAGCAGTTAGGCTAAGTGTAAGGCATACAGTAAAGCTAGCAGTACATCTAACAGTAAGGCCTGCCTCAAGTCTAGCAGTAAGGCCAGGAGTAAATCTAGCAGTAAATCTAAGAGCATATCTAGCAGTGAGGCCTACAACAAGTCTAACAGTAAGGCTAGAATTAAAGCCTACAGGCTAGCAGTGCATCTAGCACCTTGCAAAAAACTAGCACAGACCAGCAAGCATGTCATGCTGATCTGAGCTGGTTTAAGCTGGTTCTGGTTTAGCTGGTCACTCTATGATGGTCATGCTGGTTGACCAGAACACCAGCATCCAAAACACAACATATACTGGATTTGCTGGTGACCAGCCAAGCTGGTCTATACTGGTTTTCCTAGCAGGGCAGTAAGACCTGCTGTAAGTCTAGCAGTAAGGCTTGGATTAAGGCCTGCAGTAAAGTTAGCAGTTAAGCTAGCAGTAAAGTTAGCTTTAAATTGAATCAATACTTACCACCAGTTAAAGTCTATCAAGTTTATCAGTAAGGCTTGCAGTAATTCTAGCAGTAAGGCCGTGAGATGTGGTCATTTACACCATTTCTGTGGCATGTGCTGGTGAAAGTGTTGTCAGTAGGCTCAGGTGAGTTACCTGAGTGCAGAATGCCCAGTTCCAGTAGCACCTGCCAAACCCGTGCCGCCATCATCCTGCACTGGACAAACACACACTGCTCCAACAGCCACTGGACCAGCTCAACGCCCACGTAGCTCCTCCTGAAGATGAACACATCACAAACACATTGTTTAGCATCACATGGGGGCTGGAATTAGTTACATTTGCTAAGTTACAGCTGATTTGCATTTTCAAGTGCTAACACTTTGACTTTTACTCTGATATATTTTTGAGGTAAGGACTACTTCAGCACCTCATAAAAATGTAACATAAGACATGAAAAACATCAGGAAAATAATCATTCATTTTACTGAATGAACAATACAAAAAAGTAACTGCCCCTTCAACTTAATATTTAGTTTTGCCATTCTTAGCAGCGACAACTGCAATTAAACACTTCTTATAACTGCATCAGTTGCTTTAATTCAACCACATTGGGGAGTTTTCAAATGTTTCAAATGCCCCCTTACGATCCTGCCACAGCATCTCAGAGGGTTCTAGTCAGGATTTTGACTAGGCCACTCCAAAACCTTAATTTTGTTTCTTCTGAGCAATTCAGAGGTGGACTTGCTCTTGCATGTGCTTCAGATCATTGTCTTGCTGCATGACCCAATTGTGCTTCAGCTTCAGATCACAGACTGATGACCAGACATTCTCCTGCAGAATTTTAGAGAGCAGAATTCATGGATCTGTTGATTACGGCAAGTCTCCCCGGCCCTGAAGCAGCAAAGTATCCCCACACTGTTGCACTACCACCGCCATGTTTAACTGTTGGTATGATGTTCGTATTGTTGGAATGCTGTGTTATCTTTACGCCAGATGTAACAGGACCCCTGTCTTCCAACAAATTCTACTTTTGACTCATCAGTGCACAGAACATTATTCCAAATGGCTTGGGGGTCACCAAGGTGTTTTTTGGCAAAAGTGAAAATGTTCGTCTTGGTTGGTGCCTTGCAGCTCTCCCATGCATACCATTTTTGCCCAGTCTCTTTGTGATGGTGGAAGCATGAACGCTGACCTTATCTGAGGTGAGTGAGTTCCTCACTTCCTTCAATGTTCATCTAGGTTCTTTTGTGACTTACTGGCTGAGTCATGGCTGTGCTCTTGGAGGAACTGTGGTAAACCAGCTACTTCTAGGAAGATTCACCACTGTTCCAAGTTTTCTCAATTTGGAGATAATGGCTCTTACTGCCTTTACATTGGTAAGTGAAATTGTCTTAAATCTAGTCAATATATCTAATATTCCCCATGTTGAGATTGTTGTAAGCTTAAAATAAGATAACTGAACTTATTTTTAGATATTTTTTATTTTTATAAATTTTTTAAGTTAAATTATCTCACTATATTGGCAGATAATTTTGCTTATTTTAAGAAATATGCTTGAAGCAAGCAAAATTATCTGGCAATATAATGAGATGATTTTACTTGATAAAATGACTTGAAACAAGTACAAAATCTTATAATATTCGTACAACCATCTCAAAATGCGAAATATAAGACATTTTTAATCTAGATTTAAGATGATTTCTCTTGTTAAGATATAATTTTTTGCAGCATAGGCCTTTCCAGACTGATATTTTCAACAACTTTCTTTGTTGTTTTGGAATATGCTTTGGGATATTTTTAATGATCACAGCATAGTGAGCTGCTTGTTGAGAGCTTTTAGCCTACTTTAAATTGCTGGAAAGATTCTATTTAAGTGATGTTTCCATTCAACACGGCTGGCTGTAGTCAAGCCCGGGTGTGTCTAGTTCAGTGACCCTAATTCTAAATTTAATGAACAGAGTAACTAAGGGGGCTATTACTTTTTCACACTTTTACTCCCTTTTTCCTTCAATAAATAAAATGATTGTTTAACTGTCTTCTGTGTTTACTCAGATTGCATTTTTCTTCTATTTAATTCTGTCTGAAGATCTGGACCAATTTAGTGTGACAAATACGGCAAAACAGAAGAAATCAGGAGAGAGCAAATACTTTTTCACAGCAGTGTAGAATTTTTCACATACCATAGAAAAACCACAGCTTATATATGTGCGAACATTCCCTCTTCCTAAGCGCTGCCCATTTCTAATGTGCATCCACAGCACATGTCCACATCGTTTCCATCACTGACCACGTTTTATTTCTCTCATCCCTCCCTCCGCCTCCTGATTGGCTACCAAACATGTCAATACAGTCGGAATGCCATTTGGATGGAGGTTATTGATCGCAGCAGTAAGTGAGCAGTGATGAGTCAGCCAAAGCGACTCCCCCTCTCAAACCCACCCTGCTTCAACACAGGAGTCACATTGATCCTCGGATTGATGAACAGGACTTTATGTTCACACAGATCAGCTCCCAGCGTCACTACTACAAAGGCATGCACCAGGATCAATACTCCATTCACTTCAGCTCTTACAGAGTGCACTGCTCTCACCACACAGCGACAAACACAGCCAGAAATGTCCCACCTGATAATCCGGGCCAGGTGGATCTTGTCTTTGGCGGGGTAAGGGCCATGGGACAAGAAGGCGTTCCTCAAAGCACGGCCGGCGCAGGGGAAACTCTGAGAGCAGGTCTGCTAGAGAGAGAGAGAAAGAGTGCTTTAGTGAACGGATAAACAGCCTGTGGACAGTCTGCTCTCTTTTGACATTTTAATTTTCTCACTGTTATTTTTCTATTAAAGGGGAATTCCACCAATGTTTTAAAATTTCTGTATAATTCAATGGTTGAGATGAAGTCATTGAGAGTGGGCTGAGGTGAAATGTTTTTCTTATTTCTTTAACAATATCTGATCCCTTTTTTATTTCTTTAACAATATCTGACTACTTTTTATTTCTTTAACAATATCTGACTACTTTTGATTTCTTTAACAATATCTGACTACTTTTTATTTATTTAACAATATCTGACTACTTTTTATTTCTTTAACAATATCTGACTACTTTTGATTTCCTTAACAATATCTGACTACTTTTTTTATTTACTTAACAATATCTGACTACTTTTTATTTCTTTAACAATATCTGACTACTTTTGATTTCCCTAACAATATCTGACTACTTTTTCATTTCTTTAACAATATTTGACTACTTTTTACTTACTGAACAATATCTGACTTGCATTTTTGCACATTTTATTTCTTTAACAGTATTAGCTGCTAGAATACTATATCAACCAAATACTGTATTTTGTTGCTGTTCTGGTTGCTACCTCTGTGACTGCTATGCTCATATATGCTAGGCTAGCTGCTAATATGTCATAGTATGTAACATCCTGCTTTGCACAGCTCTACATACTCTCAGTGCCGTGTACTGCCTGTGCTCTGTTTTGTATTTATTGTAAATCTTTAGTATTTATTGTACTGTATTGTCTGCACTGTGTATATTGTATTGTCTTGCACTTGTGTTCCTGTGTTGGTTTCACTGTGTACTTGTATGTAGCTAAAATGACAATAAAGCCTCTTGAACTTGAATGTTTTTTGCAGAGAAACGCGCCACCTCAGATTTCTTTATAGTGGTGATGGGAACCAGGGGTCAACATGTCAGTTCAAATATTTATATGAGATTTATATGTAATGTTGATGATGGTAAAATAGTGGTGAATCTGAAAAAAGTTTTCCTTGGTGGCTATTTTGCCTCGCCATGCCCAGCATGTAACTCTCCACCATGCATAGATTTTAAAAGTACGTTTTAGGCCAGAACCTTAAAACCGAAACAATGTCTCAGACATCAGGCATTTTTTTTCATAACCATTTCAACTTTCTGTGTGGGAGTATTTAGAGGCATTAAACTCTCATCATCACCACCATGAAGATGAAACATCTGTGAAATTCCCCATTAAGTACACTTTAAAAAAAAAGATGGTTCTTTAATGGTTCTTTTGTAAAGAAAATGGTTCTAAAAGTGTTTTCCTTGGTATGAAGAGCAGATTATGCCTAAAAATAATGACTTGGAGATGACTGTCACAAATATTTAGAGGAGACTAACTTATCAATAACAACAATGAAAGTAGAATGTATTGTTTTCCTTCTCTCTTCATATGCATGAGCATTCTGCATGACCATCTGGGATCTGAAACTCCAGTCATACCAGTAAAAGTACATTTTTTACGACTTAACGCACTGAAACCTTCGCATCAGGTCCAATGTGCTTTTTAATTTAAAGAGTGGGCCTATTTACTTCATTAGTCATTTTTCTTTTTTTTGAATAAAAAATGAAAGATATTGCTTTGTAATAATAAATTACATCAGTCGTGTTCAAATTTTAACACATCACAAACTGTCAACATTACTGTGGTCAGTTCAGCCTCTGCAGTGCCCCTCTGTTTCAACTCTGCTATAGGAATACAAATCTATGTTCAATTTGCCAGTATTGCCCTATGATGAGAGCGCATGAAGAAGGCAAAGAGTAAGACGAAATTGATTCATCAAGCAATAACAGTTATTATTTTGCTTTTAGCCAGATGCCAACACTCAACACGAGCACTCAAAGCTCCAAGCATTAACATGGGCAATTAAACCACAGGAGCAACCACAAGCTCTATTTAACAATTTTTAACGATGCCATTGTCCCAATTTATTGATTGCTCTAAATTGTCACCAATGTTTGGAAGTGTGATGTTGTTTTTTCTTAAAACCAGTTCGTCTTTAAAAACGTGACGTCTATAAAACTCAGGACTGAAAAAGTCCGAAATCTTTGTTGCCCCCTTTGGCGCAAATGGAAACTGCCCAAGAAATTGTAAAACACTTGTGGTTTTAAAAGAAACTATTTTTATAGTGATAATTTTGTCCTAATTTATTGTCTTCTTAAAATAGTTTCCCTAATTAGTCTTTTTTTTTTTTTTCTTTTTGGTCTGTAAAACTCGGGACTCCATTTGGAAAGGTCTTAAACTTTTATCGCCCCCTCTGGTGTAATTGGAAACTGTCCAAGAGACTGTAAAACACCTGCAGCTTTAAATGAAATGCTTTTAAGCATTAATTTTGTCCTTGTTTACCAATTATTCAAAATTGTTTGCCTTAAAATAAACCTAGTTAGTCTTTAATGTTATCTTGCAAAAACCTATTAAAAAAACCTATTTGAAAAGTTTGGTGTCCCCAAAATTTTGACAGACGGTGTATATGTATGCGTTTGCACATGTGTGATAGAGAGAGAGAGAGAGAGAGAGAGAGAGAGGTAAAGCAAGAGAAATAAAGAGAGCGAGTGGAGTGCTAGAGTAATGAATGTTTTAGTACAATCATTTCTAAATGCATTCATACATTTATAAGCCTGTCCAGAAGCTTATCTCCTGGGCAGGAAGAGTATCAGCCGGCCCTGATCTCTGTGTGCTCTTTCCGCAAAGTTTGTTTTGTATGCAAATCTTAACCCCATCTTTACCGAATGACCCCAGTGGCATCAGCTGCAGCATTTACACACAAACAGAGCATTACATCATCGGTGCGCAGGAACAAATATACGCAATCAGGAAAAAGCCCAGAGGCAAGGTGCTGCTGTGGCTTTGACCGCATAAAAGCATAGATATTTCATTCATCAAATGATCCAAGCCTGAGATAATGGACATCCTTCTGTATTTCCATCTCTCTCTCTCTCGTTCTCTTTCCATGGATTAATCAATTCTTCAGTCAATAGGGTTCTCGTCTCCACTGCATGTTCAAAAACACCTTTAGCATTATTGATAAAGCTCAATTTTAAATCCCAGACCACTGACGTGTCGTATACTGAGGCCGTGACCCGTTTAAACCAGAGCAATCCATCTACTGAGCCTCAACAGGCCAAGCAAGTTGACACAACAAAAACCAGGGGTCATGTTACACTGTCTTTCCCACTCTTCTGAACACCATTCAATTCATTTACAACAACAACAATGGGAATATAAACTCTAGTAAGCACTACATATAGACACTAAGATGGGGTTATAGATTTAAAGGGGAATTCTAACCAGTACATAAAAGAAAATTTAATTTTTATGCATGTTTTGGAAATTTTCTGGACTAAATTACTTTGTTAAAGGTGCATTAGTCGACTTTCTTTCTTTTATTACTGGTACAAATAACCTGGAAAATAAGCAGAACATAATAAAAAAAAACATTGTTTTAGATATGGCTTCAGCACAGATGTATTGTGGGCCTGAGAAACCCAGTCTGGAAAACTGTAGGGCAGAGCAGAGGCCTTGTCTGTGCCTTGTCAGTAGTGCTTTTTTCCTCATCATATCATTTACAGTGTTAATTGAGGCAATGCACTTAAATAATTATTTTTCATGTTATTTAAAAAAGCAATGTTAGCATTCAACTCTATGGGGTCCCACAAGGCTCCATATTCGGCCAAAACTCAAAGAGGGGTGTACTCTGATCTCCTCTTTTATCTCCATCATCACATTTTTCAGCAGGGCAGTACACACATGTGCTCTCGCCCAGGCCTGGCTGATGAGCAGAGCGATTATACAGCGAGGTAGTGTACTTAATCTGACTAGTGTTGGGATTAAAAGAGATTCGTAGATGCAGACATCAATTATCATAGCCAGCAGCATGAGATCAAACGAGCAAAGGGCAAACGAGGAGACTCATCAGCACCCAGATGAACACCACAGACCGTCTCCACTGCATCTCACACAGAATAGTAATGAAAGTGCGTGTGTGTGGGCGGGTTTGTGTTTGTGTACAGAAGGAGAGAGAGCTTTATACTGCACTGCGTATATATCATGAGTATGTGAGTGGCACTGCATGGGTGGAGTTATAGGTTCACCGTTCAAAAGTTTGGACTCATTTCTCATGTTTTAAAATGAGTGTACGGTTCTGTTTTGTGCACCTCCTGCCACTTTAACTCTTCCCTCCTTCCAATCTAAAAAACCAACCAGTTCTAGCTGTGTCCTCCCGACAAAGGCTGCTCCCAAAGATATCACTGACATTATGTTCCCCTCCAAAGAAACACTAGCATTTACACAAGCAGCCAAATAGCAACATTTCGTACCACTTTATAAAAAGATTACCATTATAAAGACATTAAAATGAGTTTCTTCGTGATTATAAATGAATCATAAACATATTAATCATCATTAATAAGCATTTACAACACATAAATTAAAAAAACAACAGTGACCTGTTGCTTGCCAAATAGTGAGCCCAAATTCATCTACACTGTTTAAGCTCAGATCGTGCTGGTTGCTGATCTTACTATGGCATTTCCATCCGTCAGCATTAAACCTGTCAGCTTCACCAAGTATTCATATTTATCAGATATAACAGATCACCGTTTTTATTCATGTGTTATAACTGCTTGTCGTTATGAAAGGTGTTTATGACCTAATTGATTATCATTATCAAACTAATATTAAACCATTCATGAACACTTTATAAAGGTGGTCTTTGGTAAAGTGGAACCCAAATTTCTTTCTCATGTGCATCTAAAATAGCTAAAGGAGATATTTCAGAGAAGATTAAATCATCGCTGTCCAAAGAAAAACATGAATCTCGACTTTTGTTGAATTTTATTTTTCTCCATCATTTGAACTCAGCAACTGCCCTCTACATAATGTGACCATTTCATGATGAATGGACCTACAGAAAATGCTACAAAATAAAAGTAAAGAGTGTTTTTGCCCTCTCCTGTAAAGTTAGCATTTTGTAGATACTTGTATCAAGTATCTACAAAATTCATGATACTTGGATCATGAAAAGCAGAAAATGTAACACACTTCTAAGACTGAACTTTGGAGGTGTGGAAAAATATCCCTGCAGATTTCTTTGAAAACTTGAAAGTGAGTCTCCTGAAAAGAATGGAAGCTGTAATGAAGGTAAAAAGTGACACACAAAAATTTGATAATATATTTAGTTGTTGAGGCCTCTGTGTAATTTTCTGTCAGATATGTTTTTGGCTTTTTTTTGTGACACTAAAATATTTTGTATTTAATGACCGTTTTGACTGGAAATTAAATAAAACAAAGAGTGATCTTGCATTATGCAATGGCCATTTATTTATTATAAACTGGATGCCAATTTTTATGTTTTATTCAACGGTTCAAGCATTTTGGAAACAAGAAATTAAAAATGATTTAAAATTTCCTGTAATTATCTTACAATAGTATATATACACACATGCATATGTTGAAAACTGATACTGAATGCTAATGTATGTAGAACACAAAAAGAAGGCACTATATTATGTGTGCTTATAGAGTAGTTCCCTACCTTAGACTTGGTGGGGACGCTGGCACTGGGTCCTGGGACAGTGTCAGGTGACTGCTGCCAAGACACAATCAATAAAAACAAACAAGGTCATAATGGTATTTAAACAAACCACACAGTCCAGTTTCTACATAGCACAGTGATAATGACCCCCAAACCAAACACAGGTTTTCAAACACACCTCCTGCCTTACGGTAAATGACATTACCACATGAATGCGGCTTAGAGTGTCTTACATGTGTTTACAGTGGCTCAGACAGTGTTAATGAAGCCCTCAGACAAAGTCACGTTCAGTTAGAATGCTTCTCTGAGAGAATTAAAGTGGCAAATTATCACTGTAACAATATTAATACCCCTGAATATCCAGTATAGCACTGTACAAATGCTATAGTGCTAGAATGATTAATTTATCCTACATCCTTATCATTTATCCAGACATACTGTATGTATGGTAATATCGTAGACTGACAAACTGGTGGAATGACTGGATAAAGGCTCTATATCATATAGTCAGATACACTGAGGAAGCTCCAGGGACAGTAGTGGAGATGTCTTGGGATCTTGATGAGCGAATCACAGTGTGCTTAAGCAGCTCCACTCTATTGTTTGGGGAAACAGAGCCAGACTGATATGTTATTTGACTGATAAAATCAGTCAATATTAGAGTTTCATAGATTTATTATTATTTGGAAAAATGCTGAAAATAAAGCATGAATTGTTCTTATGTGAAGAAAACTGATGAAGAATAAGCAAAATCGAAGCCACTTATCAGAAGTCAACTAAACTGTTAAGAATGCAGAATATCTTTGTCTATTTGAATTTAACGCCTTAAAATCCCAGATTTATTACATACAAAGGCTTATTATTCAGTAACTACAGGGACTTCAGTGCAAGCTGGTTGAGCTGTTCTTAGGTTATAGAAGTGTATAATAAAACATGGCCTGTTAAGAGGTTAAGAAATTTTACAGTTGAGGACTGACATAACTATATTTGATTCACATCTGACACCTGAGACATCAGTCAGTAAAGCATTGTTTACAGGGTCCACATCATGAAAAACAAAAGTGAGTTAGGAAAAAAAGCAGTTAGAAGTAATATGTAAGCATTGTTAAAATTTCACAGTGCATCATTCATTACTCAGTCCACACAGTTCATATACACCTGCAAAAATCGCCTCTTTTGAATTTTTTTTATGATGTCACAAATCATCCTTTACATCTAGCCACTTATTCAGCCTACAGCAGTTTATCTCCGCCCATTTGGGCTGAAGTTATAGGGGGTGTTTCAGCCTGGACTGTACTTCTAATAAGGCACAATACAGGGCAGCCAATCAGAACAGAAGTTATTTGCAAATATCATATACATATACCATTTACATAAACATTTACATGTATCAGTCTTAAGGGCACAATAAGAAAAACAGCCTGTTTAATTCTAAAGGATACAGAGATGTTGGAAAATGGTCATATAAAAATCTTGGTACATAAAACCACAAAAATGTTTTTAATGAAACTAAATACAAGAAAAATATAGGATATGGGCCTTTTTAATTAAAACAACCGGAGTGCTTTAAATTTGTAACTACATTAAGTTATATTATCAGTTACAGGAATTTTACGTTTTGTTGGTTTGCTAAGTGAAGATAAGTTAACACAGCCTCTACAAAGACCACACTTCTGCTCATTTCAATGCACAATTACTGTTTTTTTGTTTTTGTTTTTGTTTTTGTTTTTTTTTTTTCTGAATCTAACATATTGGGGAAAAAACTAAAACATAAAATATGCAAAAGTTACAGCACATTTTATATGTTATGTTGTATTTTTTTCCAATATGTTAAACTCAATTGTGCATTAAAATTTGCAGAAAAATGCCATATTTCAGTTTGTTCAATGTAAGTACCCAACAACAAGTGCATATATTAAATTGTCGCTTTCAGAACAAAGCCTCACATCTCCATTTGGGTCGTTTTACTTATTTTACGTAAACAAAAAATTCAGCTGCCGTTTACACTGTGTCAAAAATTCATGATAAACGGACAACGAGAAAATATCCAAAACCACGTACAATACAATGTTGTTATGTTAATGTACAGTGAAACATAAGGTGTTTTCCTTCTCCTGTAAAATCACCATTCCATTTTCTCCAACAGTGACAACAGTGACTGTTCATTGATTTATCCATAGGTTTGAGGAAGGTGCTGAAGGCATCACTTTAAAAGCCATTTAAAATCTGTATTTGAATGAAAGCACAACAATCATGCATAGGTGTGTGTGCTACAGCTGGGCTTCAGCCTCCACAACAACAGATGGATCAAAGGGGCAAACCAATGACTGTAAGACTGTACATATATAGAGTAATTGGGTCAGCATTCAGGAAAATGCCTTCACGGTGTTAAAAAAAAGTTGCATATATCATTTTATCACATTTGCATGTCATTATTAACATAACATTTTTAATATATTATTATATACATATTGCGGGAGAGACAGAGAGAGAAACAGCTCTCATACATATCATCCCCCATAATCCCTACTGCTAACCATGCTGTACCGGGCCAGGATTTGGCATGAGGCCTTCAACCAGCAGAGTTCACTTCCTCTCATCAAACATGCCATCATGCCATAAGATAATGTTACTATAAATACACTCACATGGCTGGATGTGAAAAAGCTGACCTCAAAAGATGCTTGGCTGGCTAAACATCTCTGAGTGTTAAACTCCTCCTGACGGAGCTCTGAGACAGGGCTCAACATTTGTCTCCAGTTTGCAGGATGGAAAAAAGGCAGTGTGTCGAGCGTAATTGGTACAAACTGTCATTTTAGCCTTTACTTTGAGTGAGGATGTAAAAAGAGGGAGAGACAGACCATTAGGAAGATCTAGAACAGTGCCACTGATCCTCATTACAGCAATGGGCTCCTGCTTGAACTATCTGGGGTGATGCTTTTAAGTTGTCTGTTCCTTTTTTGTTTGAAAATCCACAGCGTTCTCTTCTTGCTCTCTCGCTCTCACTTTGGACTTTCTCTTGCGTGGCCATGCCAGATGATGAGCTAATGAGCCGAAACAGGGTCAGGACAGTTTATGAGATGTGCCACTTTCGGCACTTGAGTAGCTTTTAAGGAAGCTCCACAAAACTCAACATTTTTTAGAAAACTGGTTTCCATGTTACCACATAAACAGCCAACTGGCTGACCTACCAAAGACAAGGGTGGATTTAGGGAAGGCTGTAACTAACGATTATTCTTATGATTGATTAATCGACTAATCAAACCTTTGTGTTTTCTGCAGTTTTCTCTCTCTTTGCTCGTCACATCGCTGTCACCAAAGTTCTATCTGTGCAAAAAGTGGTTTCTTCTTTATAATGTATCGAAACTACTAAAGCTATATCGCCCCCTACACTTGCTGCAGAGTACTGCAATCTGTCAGAATGACTTTGGGTATCGTATAAACATTACACAGTGTTTTTAGTAGGCTTGGGTGGTATGATGGTAATACAGTATATCACAGTATGTAAAAATTGAATGGTTTGACATTTATTGAATGATGACTTGAAAATGCACTGCGTTCACTTATTTGGTAAATGCATAAAACAAAATATTTTTTTCTGATTTAGAAAAAAAAGATTGCAAAATGTGTTATAAGTGACTTCTATCACCAACACCTCAACATGTTTTTTATTTTAAATTTTAATTTTTTTAATTAATTTATGTATATATATATATATATTTTTTTTTACACAAATAGCATCATATACTAAGTGGAATGTTAGTAAGATATTCAGGTATGAAAAAATAGATACTGTCCAAGCCAACATTACAGAATGCTTTAGCTTCTTTGTCATGTCAACTTATGCAAATTATCACTCTCACTCTCCTTCATCACATGCCAGATGATTTTTGTATTGCTTTGCCTTAATTTAAGCAATAAACATAATCATTCCATTTGTACAATCATTCTAATATATGGTAGTTCAATAATATATATATATATATATATCGCTGCTGTCAGAAGGAAACCTCCTTTTCTATTGTTTTTCGTTTTTTGGCATAATTTGTTGCTCTTTACATTGTGTGTAAATTTCATGAAGAATGGAGCAAAAAAATGGCCCAAGATGATTTGGTAAAATGTCTGGTTCCATTGATTTACATTTAAAGTAAAGTAGGTTTTTTCCTTCTCCTGTAAAGTTACCACTTTGAAGATACAAGGTTTTATGTTATTGTTATTGTTAGTTAGTTAAGTTTTTTGTTAGTTTAGCTTTCTACCACAGCATTTAGGAGCTGAAATTGAACAGAAACTGTGAGTGCAAAGTGCAGACTTTCAGCTTTTATTATAACCAATGTGTACATTTTTAGTGGCTCAAAAACTTGGCAGCTCAGCTAATCAATGGCCAGGTGTGTGTTATTCCCTCAATATTTCACTTACAAGTAAAAAGATAAAAGATCTTGAGTTGATTTCAAGTGTGGCTTTTGCATTTGGAATCTACTGCTGTGACCTCTCAATATGAAGTCCAAAAACTTGTCACCAAGATGATCAAAACAAGCCTATCAGAGAGATAGCAAAAACATTAGGTGTGGCCAAACCAACTATCTGCACAGCTTAGCTCAGAAACACCAAAAGGCCCACAGGAGCACAGAAAACAGCTGTGTGGATGATGGAAGAATTCTTTCCCCAAATAAAAAACGCTTTACAACACTCGGCCAGATCAAGAACATCCTCCAGGAGGTCGGCGTATCTATATCAAAGTCAACAATCAAGAGATGTTACAAGTAGAGTAAATGCAGAGGGTTCACCACAGGATGTAAATCAAAATCAGAATGACCAGAATAGAGTTTGGCAAAAAAAAAGACGGCACAGTCCTGAAACAACAGCTTATGGATAGAGGAGACAAAGATCAGCTCGTACCAGAATGATGAAATAGAAAAGTGTAGAGAAAGAAAGGAATTGCTCATGATTCAAAGCACATCATTCATCTGGAGGTGGTGTTATGGTGCAAGCATGTATTGCTGCCAGTGGAACTGGTTCCCTTGTATTTACTGATGACGTGATCCAGGGGTCATATT